AAACAATCCACTATTAACCTTTGATCATTTGTCAATATGGAATTTTCCCAATTGAAGTGGTCTAAAAATGTCAATCTATCATGGTCATTCGACTTCGGTTCACAAAGTTCATGACTTTTAAGATGGGTAATTTGATCATAAATTTCCCTTTGAATTGGTGTAAGAAAGCTTGGATTTTCACGTTTCCGGTGTTAGGAACCAGAATTTTTCATATTCAGGAACAGGTTTGATTGCTTTCGTGTTATCCGATTGATTCATTTGAATAAACTGATTGATTTCCTGTTTTAGATTGTCTGAGTTGCTCATTTTTATTAATGCTAAAGTTTGTGAGTCAATCGGGACAATTTGTTGCATGCCGGTCGATTTAGGGACTGTGAATGTAGCGATTTTGCTCTTATGCAACAATGTGATCGGGTGATCTGTAATGTTGAGTGCGGGAATGTACAGTTTACTATCTAATGTTGTCTTATTGATTGAAGACATCAGCGCTACGTTTAAATTACCTTCAAACTCGGAGTTGGTGATTACTGTTCCGATAGTATTTTTGATATCTGATTCGGTAAAACATTCCAGAAGTATTGTTTTAATTGGAGGGATAACGTATTTCTTTGAAAGAGTTAGGGGTATACGGAGGGTCTGTTTTTTGTGTCGCTTGGAAGTCGTTGATTTGAACTGTTAAAATTGGAAACTTCAGAAGATCGTATTTCGGACAAATTTGAACGTCGTGTTTTTGTAGAAACAATTTCCGAGTATCATCGAGTTTGTGGTAGGTAGAACAAGAAAGTTTTACCTAAAGCTAATTACTGCAATCCGGAAGGTTACTGTCGCTTCAATTTCTATTGGTACGAGTTGTCCTCCTGCCTTGCGTTTTCGTTTCAGTTTTAATTTTTGGGTTTGGATCCGTTCAAATAATGCTTTATTGGTGGTAAGATCGTTGAAAGTTTCATGTGATATTACATTTGCACAGGCACCAGTATCAACTAGAACACGTCTAAATGTTGCAATTTGAAATACGAAAGGGTTTTGTCGGATTCCGGGATAACTGCATATAAATCAAAAATTTCTTGGGGTAACACTTTTTCGTTGGTTTTCCTTATTTTTGTTGATTGGGATGAAATTTTTCCTGTTTTGGGTTTGGGTTTTCTATATTTCTGTTTCTTCTGCGGTTTTTGGCTGCATTTTTGTTACCTTCAGATTTGATTAGGGAATGGTTGTTGATTGCACTGTTGTTGGTACTGGTTAGCGAATGGTGGATGGTTCCAAAACTGTTGGTTCCCCTGGTATACTGGATAAGGGTTTCCGAAGCGTCCTCTGAAAGGTTGGTTTCCTCGATTTGACTGGTTCGGGTTTGGTGGTCGCTGTGGCTGGAAACCTCTGTTTCCTCGATATTCTTGTTGATGCTGATTTGTTGATGGTTGGGTCAATGTCGAAGCTTCCTGGCAATTTCGATCAATCATTTGTCTCCATTTTATTTATCTGTTTCTTCATTGCTTCTTGTGTCGCGGTGAGTTTAGAAAATGCATTGATGAGGTTATCAGAAACTGTTTCGCTGACTTCATTAAATCCATCTTCGGATAATCTTCTTTTCGACACATATCACGAATTGTCATTGGCTGTCTGACATATGTACAGAGAGTTTGAACTGGTTCGATTGCAGGTCGTTCCGTGAGCTTTCCGCGAAGCCATCCTGGCATTGCCTTGATGAAAAGTCGTCGAACTTGTTCGTTTCGATTATCTCTAACTGAATCCAGTCGTTGTTGTCGCTGCGCTGTTTCTCTGGCATTCCTTGCTGCTTCTATTGCAACATCGGCTGCTCCTGGATCAATTGGGTCAGGAACAGCTATTTCATGAGTCGGGTAAGCTTAAGTGCTTTTTCCAGTAAACTTACAAGAAAATTTTCGGGGTATCTTTCTTCGAATCGAAATTTAATTGTTCGAGCTTCAAGACATGGATTTCTAGAAGTTGCGAGCTACTGAAATGGTCGCGTATCGCAGCGAGGCTGTTCGCTGCATTCGCTCGTGTTGCGGCGTCTAGCATTTGAGATAATCGTAGTGCGTCGCCTCGCAAGTGGAGTTTTAAGAAACTCGCATGTTGCCATACTGGTATCACTGCAACTCCAATGAATCCATTAAAGAGTTATTCGAACTGCGCGAAATCTTCTGCATCCGTTCCGCCCTAAGGTTCAACCAAGACTTCAGCGTGTGCCAATTACAGTTTGATGAATTTCAGTCTGATGTTCATCGGTGATTCTGAATTCTATATCCTTTTTCAACAATTTCTAAAATGACAGGAGTTTTTCTCCAAGACTCGGCATATAGTGCCTAAAGAACTGTACGAATCCTTTAAGTCTCCTGAACTGTTCAATAGTCTGTTTCATTCAAATGCTACGCAGGAAACTTTCAATTTTCGCTTGCTCTGGCGAAGCTCCTGCTGTTGTTACTATATTTCCTAAGAACTTCATTTTGTCCGTGCCTATTTCACATTTTCCTGGCGATAGTTTTAATCCTGATTTTCTGACACATTCAAAAATTCTCTGTATTAGTGCATCAAATGAGTGCACTGCACTTCCTATATCATCCATGAATTGTGTATTCATATCCGCTGCCAAGCATGGATCTAGGTAATGACGGATGAGTGAACTAAAACCTGTTACCGATTTGTTTAGACCTTGAGCTAGACATTTGTATGCATAAATAGAAGATGAAAAGTTAAAAGACAAAAAGTTGGACTGATATGTCATCCACAATTTGCACACAATGGTACAGTTGTGAGCAATCAAATTTTGTAATCAGTTTCTTTCCGGCGAAGTGATTTGAGGCATCTGTCATATTTGATATTGGAAAATTCGTATTTAAATAGTAATTTTAGAGCGAATGGTTGATTCTTCTTAAATTAAATAGCACACGAAGTTTGCCTGATGATTTTCAGTGCGCAAATAGCGGGCTATTATACTTTGACTGTAATAACGTTGTTATTAAACCAAAGTAATGCATTAGAGCCAATTCGATTGTTAAATCCTTCCTCAGATAAATTGGTGTGGGTGGACCTTGGGTATACAGAGGTCGTTGATGCTCCGGTTATGTTGATTTATAACTCGGAGTTATATCTGACATCGAATCGGTGTTTAGCAAATATATCGGAGTATTCGAGAAAAAAAACAATCCACTTTTAACCTTTGATCATTTGTCAACATGGAATTTTCCCAGTTGAAGCGGTCTTAAAATGTCAATCTATCATGGTCATTCGATTTCGGTTCACAAAGTTAAAGACTTTTAAGATGGGTAAAGTGATCATAAATTTCCCTTTGAATTGGTGTAAGAAAGCTTGGATTTTCACATGGTTCCGTGTTGGGAACCAGAATTTATCATATTCAGGAGCAGGTTTGATTGCTTTCGTGTTATCCGATTGATTCATTTGATAAAACTGATTGATTTCCTGTTTTAGGTTGTCTGAATTGCTCATTTTTATTAATGTTTGAGTCAATCGGGACAATTTGTTGCAAACGGTCGATTTAAGGACGGTGAATGTAGCGATTTTGCTCTTATGCAACAATGTGATCGGGTGATCTGTAATGTTGAGTGCCGGAATGTACAGTTTACTATCTGATGTTGTCTCATTGATTGAGGATATCAGATATGTTTAAATCATCTTCAAACTCGGAGTTGGGATGACTGTTCCGATCTGATTCGGTAAAACATTCCAGAAGTATTGTTTTATTTGGTGGGATAACGTATTTCTTTGAAAGAATAAGGGGTATACGGAGGGTTCGTTTTTTGTGTCGCTTGGACGTCGCTGTTTTGATTTCGTTGATTTGAACTGTTAAAATTGAAAACTTCAGAAGATCGTATTTCGTACAAATTTGAACGTCGTGTTTTTTGTAGAAACAATTTCATCGAGTTTGTGGTAGGTAGAACAAGGAAGTTTTCTCTAAAGCTAATTACTGCAATCCGGAAGGTTATTGTCGCTCCAATTTCTATTGGTACGAGTTGTCCTACTGCCATGCGTTTTCCTTTCAGTTTTGATTTTTGGGTTTGGATCCGTTCAAATAATGCTTTATTGGTGGTAAGAACGTTAAAGTTTCCTGGGATATTACATTTGCACAGGCTCCAGTATCAACTAGAGCACGTCTAAATGTTTTATGAGCAAATTGCAATCTGACAAACGAAAGGGTTTTGTCGGATTCCGGGATAACTGCATATAAATCAAAGATTTCTTGAGGTAACACTTTTTTGTTGGTTTTCCTTATTTTTGTTGATTGGGATGAAACTTTTCCTGTTTTGGGTTTTGCTTTAAGATTTTTTGCTAAATGATTCGGTATATGAAATAGCTTGAACAAATTTAAAGTTTTTCTGAGCACGCTATTCATGCGATAAAACTTTGAAATGAGTCAATTTATTTCATAGAGCAAATCAACTGGCGAGAGTTTTCACGTTTTCTAAGCGAGCTATTGAGGCGATGAAACTTTGATTTCTTTCAAGATTTTTCATAGCGCAGATCGGTTTGCAAAAAGCTATTAATCTTCAAGGAGGTTGCTGTATTTTATTGGTTCATTTCAGAATGAAATTAATCTGAAAAGCCAAAACTTCGCGAAAATGGACAGTTAATTTCTAGCCATGAAAATGAATTGAGTTTATCTTGTCTGCAGAATAGAATTTAAGTCAAAAACTATTCGAGAACAGTCCAGACTTAAGAAACTTTGGAGGTTTAGCGATACCTATGTTAAACTTTTTTGGTCAAGACAGCAGGAAGAATAACTTCCTCAACGATTGACCCAGTAGTTTGAATGTAAGTGTTGTTGGATAAAAAAAGCCAAAAGCGACCTCCATTTTTTGAAGTAAAATTCTCAGACCGAATTCAGGAAAATGAATTGCATCATAATAATATTGGCAAAATTCTCAGCAACATTTTTTTGTTTATCATTAGACCCATCCTTTTTGTTTATTATTATACCCAGAAGGTATTCAATCATTTGAGCTCCAAACAATGGATGAAAATCTTACCTTAATTTGTTCGAAAAACTTTTTTGATCGTCTCACTTTTCCTTGCATGGAATCTAGTTTTTCTGGTTCATCTACATTCCCAATAGTTGATAAAGCCACACTGCGCAGCCTACTGAAACAAACAGGCGCGGATTTAGGATTTTCTCGAGGGGGGATTTTCACAACCTCCCCCTCCCAGTCTCTTAGGGATACGACCCCCTGCCGACCCAATGGGGCTCACTTTTGTATTAATTTGAGATATTTATTTTTGGCTGACGGACTCCAAAATTTACAGAATCTTGCGTTCATTCAAAGAATGTTGAAAATCATGGGATGTTTGAGAGATATATTCCAAACAACCCACGGTTCTTCTTTATGATGGTCTTGCAGTGTAGTAGGATAGTAGGAATGAGAAAATGTGGCGGCGTGAGATCAAGTTGATGTTAAGATCAGTCCGTCAATGATGTGACAATCTGCCACTCCTGGTGAAATTTTGATGCTAATTGTTGCGCGTTGGAAGTTTTGTTTTTGAAACCGAATAGGGGTGCCTACGACTAGCGAGTTTCAGAAATTATGAGTGTTGAATTTCAACTAACTTCTTATTTAATTAAGTTTTATACCGACTAAGATTGAACAATCATTTTAAACTTGATGCAGAGCTTGGACCTTATGTCATTAACCTGTCTAGACAATGTCATAAATCTGCTGCTTTATGTTTTTTCCATTATATTTTTTTATGTTTTCAGATTTATATATTTTTCCTTTTGTTTAAGATCTCGAATTTCGTATTTCATTTGATAAAACGGGCAGTGCTCTGTAACCCAATTGGGATCGTTAACTGTCCCCTCACTGTTTCTGGTGCTTCATGTTAAAATTCTCGTTGTATGCATATTTACCACAAACAATGAGAAATAAATTCTTTCTTTCTTTATTTCTGACTGAATTAAAGTCTTTTTTGGACACGTTGTATATCACACAGTGAGAGTGAGGCTAAGATAGTTTTATTTAGTCAGTGAGTTATCAAAAGAAACGTGAACATCTGTAGCCATATAAAAACTAGGTAATTATCCTGTCCTAAGTGTTTTTTATTCTGTTAATAGTGGAACCAGATCCAAACTATAATTTATTATTGGTTATAATTTAGATATTTTATCCCTATAAAATATTAAAGACTAACCAATCACACTCCATCAAACTAACAACCCACTTATTTGTAAGTGCTGCAATTACTTGTAATTTCAGCACCAGAGCAATTTGAATTTAACTTACAACTTAATTGCTTTCTCCAAGAGACCGACTCGTAACAAAACCAGTATACTCTAGATCTATGGAGACTAAGAGATATAAGAGTAAGATTAAGATCGGTATTAGACTAAGAAGTTGCACGAATCTATCCGGCCGAAAATAAGATAGCGTGACGAGCAGACGGTGTACCCTATCTGAAATTACTCTATGAGTTGACCTCCCATCTTGGCTCATCTGGTGCGACCAAAAGTCTCGAAAAAGACCTTAAAAACAAATTAGCTTAGAACTAACGAAATAGATTAGACTTAGACAAAAATCATTTCCAAAAATGTTACATGACAACAATTTAATTGAAATGTCTCTACGACTCAATAGATCAGAGCCATTATTCCGAACAATACAAAAACTGCCCGGTATTGGAAAAAGACCTCGGACAAGAGACGATACACGACTACAAAGGAACTTACCATTAAATTCATGATCGTACGGCAAAAGCCAACACAAACTTTTATATTTAGAATTATATTAGCAATGAATTTAGATTTTCATTTGCAAACATAGTATCTTTGAAGGATTATCTTCAAGGACAATTACAGGCGCTAAACTGATTATTGTACAATAACGACTGATAAAAACATCTCTAGTCGTTCTCTTCAAAAAAGATAAAAAGATATCTGGAAAAAATATTTATTGAAAATAAATTATAAAAATTAGTTAGTAAAAACACCAATTGTTAGTATATATAAACCATCTCATCATCTCAGCTTCAAGACCTAAAACATAACAGCGAATCATAAATCCACTAACATCATCAAAAACTAATAAAACAAAAATTTTCTATCAATTAAACCTTAACTTAATTTATAAAGGTCTATCCTATTTCTTATTTTCATTCAAATTAAACTTCTTGAACTTAACAGATCTTCAAGGCTTTCCTTGGATCGTTAATTCACTCTTACCTAAATTAAATTTAATTTCATTAATTTTATATCCTGATCATCAAGGCTTATCCTTGGATCAAATAGAACAATTTGGTTCTCCCCCTCACAATTAATAAAGTGTCTAACGACCTCAAACGTCGATTCACTACCCAACCCTTTCTCAAGACCCAGAACTAATAGAAATTTTTGATTCACACTAATCATTCTAATTAGGATAAACAGTGAAGAACTTCGGTTATTCAATCTTCACTTGACCCCCCTCTTACCTGACCCAATATAATACTTAAACTTAGTTAGTTTAAAATAGTATCTAACGAACTACTTGTGTTCTAATTATACCTGAACCTTGTGGATCGATTTACTATTCTCCAACCCTTGATCACAATCACTAGCCCTAAGTAATATTAAGTAAGTTAACACCTTAACCTATACTAGCTACGAGAAAGTAAAAATCAGTCTCAGGAATCGATATACACTTTTCTCTCCAACCCTGAATACATGACCCAAGTTAGGCTAACCCGAAAAAATCGTAAGCACTATTAGTTTAAGACATTAAAAATCACTAATCCCAAAATTGTATCCGTCATCCTAAACCTTGTGTCACTAGACAATCTAGGAAATAAACAAACAATCATATTACACAATTGTGAAATAAAAACAACGAAAAATATGACCTCGTAATCACTCCACACAAGACTGATAAAAACATCTCTAGTCGTTCTCTTCAAAAATATAAAAAGATATCTGGAAAAAATATTTGTTGAAAATAAATTATAAAAATTAGTTAGTAAAAACACCAATTGTTAGTATATATAAACCATCTCATCATCTCAGCTTCAAGACCTAAAACATAACAGCGAATCATAAATCCACTAACATCATCAAAAATTTTCTATCAATTAAACCTTAACTTAATTTATAAAGGCCTATCCTATTTCTTATTTTCATTTAAATTAAACTTCTTAGGATTTAGGATTTTCTCGAGGGGGGATTTTCACAACCTCCCCCTCCCAGCCCCTTAGGGATACGACCCCCTGCCGACCCAATGGGGCCCACTTTTGTATTAATTTGAGATATTTATTTTTGGCTGACGGACTCCAAAATTTACAGAATCTTGCGTTCATTCAAAGAATGTTGAAAATCATGGGATGTTTGAGAGATATATTCCAAACAACCCACGGTTCTTCTTTATGATGGTCTTGCAGTGTAGTAGGATAGTAGGAATGAGAAAATGTGGCGGCGTGAGATCAAGTTGATGTTAAGATCAGTCCGTCAATGATGTGACAAGCTGCCACTCCTGGTGAAATTTTGATGCTAATTGTTGCGCGTTGGAAGTTTTGTTTTTGAAACCGAATAGGGATGCCTACGACTAGCGAGTTTCAGAAATTATGAGTGTTGAATTTCAACTAACTTCTTATTTAATTAAGTTTTATACCGACTAAGATTGAACAATCATTTTAAACTTGATGCAGAGCTTGGACCTTATGTCATTAACCTGTCTAGACAATGTCATAAATCTGCTGCTTTATGTTTTTTCCATTATATTTTTTTATGTTTTCAGATTTATATATTTTTCCTTTTGTTTAAGATCTCGAATTTCGTATTTCATTTGATAAAACGGGCAGTGCTCTGTAACCCAATTGGGATCGTTAACTGTCCCCTCACTGTTTCTGGTGCTTCATGTTAAAATTCTCGTTGTATGCATTTTTACCACAAACAATGAGAAATAAATTCTTTCTTTCTTTATTTCTGACTGAATTAAAGTCTTTTTTGGACACGTTGTATATCACACAGTGAGAGTGAGGCTAAGATAGTTTTATTTAGTCAGTGAGTTATCAAAAGAAACGTGAACATCTGTAGCCATATAAAAACTAGGTAATTATCCTGTCCTAAGTGTTTTTTATTCTGTTAATAGTGGAACCAGATCCAAACTATAATTTATTATTGGTTATAATTTAGATATTTTATCCCTATAAAATATTAAAGACTAACCAATCACACTCCATCAAACTAACAACCCACTTATTTGTAAGTGCTGCAATTACTTGTAATTTCAGCACCAGAGCAATTTGAATTTAACTTACAACTTAATTGCTTTCTCCAAGAGACCGACTCGTAACAAAACCAGTATACTCTAGATCTATGGAGACTAAGAGATATAAGAGTAAGATTAAGATCGGTATTAGACTAAGAAGTTGCACGAATCTATCCGGCCGAAAATAAGATAGCGTGACGAGCAGACGGTGTACCCTATCTGAAATTACTCTATGAGTTGACCTCCCATCTTGGCTCATCTGGTGCGACCAAAAGTCTCGAAAAAGACCTTAAAAACAAATTAGCTTAGAACTAACGAAATAGATTAGACTTAGACAAAAATCATTTCCAAAAATGTTACATGACAACAATTTAATTGAAATGTCTCTACGACTCAATAGATCAGAGCCATTATTCCGAACAATACAAAAACTGCCCGGTATTGGAAAAAGACCTCGGACAAGAGACGATACACGACTACAAAGGAACTTACCATTAAATTCATGATCGTACGGCAAAAGCCAACACAAACTTTTATATTTAGAATTATATTAGCAATGAATTTAGATTTTCATTTGCAAACATAGTATCTTTGAAGGATTATCTTCAAGGACAATTACAGGCGCTAAACTGATTATTGTACAATAACGACTGATAAAAACATCTCTAGTCGTTCTCTTCAAAAAAGATAAAAAGATATCTGGAAAAAATATTTATTGAAAATAAATTATAAAAATTAGTTAGTAAAAACACCAATTGTTAGTATATATAAACCATCTCATCATCTCAGCTTCAAGACCTAAAACATAACAGCGAATCATAAATCCACTAACATCATCAAAAACTAATAAAACAAAAATTTTCTATCAATTAAACCTTAACTTAATTTATAAAGGTCTATCCTATTTCTTAT